TAACGAATTAATTATAAATATGATTTTGCAGATTGAACAAGAATTTCAATTAATATTAAATGGAAAACATGATAAGTTTCTTGCTAAATTTCCATCTTATTACTGCCCAAAAATTTTAAAATATGCTAATTCGAACCGAATTGATCTTATAAGGCGTACACATCATATTTCAGATGGTAAATATACTTCAGGTTTAATTATTGTTTTGTATACTAATTTTTCTATTTTGCGTTTTGTCATATTGATTTTTTTTATTTCTAGAATGTTTAAGAGCATTACTTATTCTCGTGGATTTGCTACCAATTCCATATTCATGTAATGCTCCTAACACAAAAATAAAGAATGTCAAAAGAAAAAGGGTAATAAAAGGGCTAAGTTAAATGTATGTTATTTTTCCTTTTATATTATTAATTTTTTTGTTTAATATTACATGAGACAATAAAATTCTGTTATTCTTCATCTTGACATGAATTATTAAAATAAAGTAACGATTAAATGCTTTACTCATTATTCATTAGCATGTTTTCCATCTTTATTTATAATATAAAATTTTTAGCAAAAAGAAATTAATAACAGTGTTAATACATGTGTGGATTGTCCGTCAACTGTTAATGATTTATTAATAAGATTTATTCCGGTAAGATGAAAATATTTTCTGACATTATTTTTAAATAATAGAATTTTCCATATTTAAATAATCACATTTATAAATTTTAAACATTTTATTTTTAGGAAGGAACAAACTTACAAGATTATGCGAAAAATATTAGAAAGGAAATATGCGGTACAAGTGTGCAGCCGTATATTATTTGTACTTATGGACAAGAAAGCAATTCATACCACATTGAATGTGATGGATTTTTTTTGCAATGTCTGGAAGACAACAATTCAGTGGCAGCTTTTGACTTATTATTTAAAATGTTCTATACTTTGAATGTTATATATATCCTCCTAAGTTACAAAATTTTTACACATTCATCGAAAATTTTATTTATGAAATTGACGGAAATGTATCTAACTCTGTCACGTCGCTTCATATAAATTTAATTAATACACCAACTGGAAACTGAAATAAAAAAACGCATTTTTTTAAATTTTGATAAACGTAATTTTTATAAACAAAATTTTTTATTTTATTAAACGTTAAAACTACATTATTGTAGTATCACATATAACATAATTAAGGTAAAAAAATTAATGTAGAAACCTGTGCAATTATAACCTGTGCAAT